AGCTGTTAGAGTATTTAGATTAGATTGGATATCATTGATAGAATTTTTAAGTTCTCCCTAGGCAGCTTTCACTTCTTTCCTTAGAGTTTCTATGTTGTCACTAATGGTTTTCTCCAACCTAGCCATTGCCTGGATAATTGTTACCCTGATTTCCCTTTCCAACCTACTGTTTATGTCCATATCCAATAGTTCTGATGGAGAGGGCACAGTCTCTGAATTTTTCCTCTGTTGGGTGTTCCTCCTCCTAGTCATTTTTGTAAGAAGTGGATGAGGGGATATATAGCTGAATGTAACAACTGTGATCCAGGCAAGGTACACCCTGGAAAGTTTTGGAGCAATCAGAGGTCACCACCAAAAAGAAAAAAAAGAAAAAAGAGAGAGAAAGAGAACAACAATAAAAAAGCTAAAACCCATTCAAAATTAGCCCAAAAAGTAAGATTTATAAGGTATATAAACAAAAACTAACAAACAAAAGGATCGACAAAATAAATGACAGGGCAAAAAAAGAAGAGCCCAGCCAAAATGAATCCTAAGAATATGATTTATATGATCCCAGAACAAAACAAATACACAGAAACACCAGAAGAATAAGATGGGAGGGTGCTTATAAATCCTTGATGTGGGTGAGGAACGTTATTTTGGTTCTTCCTGGGTGTATCTTGATATCTTTGTTCAAGGGTTCAATAACTAGAGATACAGGGAAATAAAACTGGTTTTTATATAAGGGTAATATTGAATAGGAGAATAAAGATTACCTTAAGCTTATATCTATATGTATATTAAAAAAAAGAAAAAAGAAATAGAAACACAGGTTTATGTATGAAAAAAGTTCAAATTAAAAGTCATTATGGGTGCACCTGGGTGGCTCAGTGGGTTAGGTCTCTGCCTTTGGCTCGGGTCATGGTCTTGGGGTCCTGGAATCAAGCCCACATCAGGGTCTCTGCTCAGCAGGGAACCGGTTCCCCTCTCTCTCTGCCTGCCTCTCTGCTGACTTGTGATATCTGTCAAATAAATAAATAAGATTTTTTTAAAAAGTTATTATGGAATATGTTGCATTAAACCTCTAGTTGTAATGGTAAGTAGGTTTAAAAATTAAAAGAACAAGAATCATGAGAACAAATTAAAAAAAAATTATCTATGAAGTAAGCAGATTTTAGGGCAATACCGTGAGCTTAATATATTGTTTTCCCCTGGTGTTAGGGTTTTACAGTTTTATGGGGACCCTGTTGTTTGTCCTCTTGTTCTTTTGGCTTCTCTGGGTGGGGGGGGGTGCTGCTACGTTGTTCTCCTGTTAATCTTGCTTGGGTTGAATCACCCTGCAGGTTATCAAGGGGCTGGGCTCTGTGGAAACCAGTTTTTCAGGCTTTTGTTCTCTGGAGGTTTTTGTTCTTTGGTGGTTTTTGTGGCTTTTCAGAGGGTCAGAGCAAAAAAAGTATCTGCACCCAGACCTCTGCCTCAGAGAAAAGCCTCAGACTGTTCCCCTCTGGGTGGTCCACAGCACGCAGACTTCCCCTCTCTAAACCACTGAACAGTGCAACCTCCCATAGGCGGTGTGCACCCCAAGTCACCATCCTAGTGGTCACCTGAGGGCCCTGCTTCTTTCTGCACTCCAATGCCACTAAAACTGTGAGCGATATTGGTCTAGGGAGCCCACTTCCAGTGGCTGCCTTTGCCGGGACTGCTGTCTGGAGTCCAGGGCCATACCAGGTGTGCTCAGACCCACTGGTCATGCAGGTCAAGGAGGGCTGCCTGCTGAAGGATCCTGACCCAAGGTTGCACTGGCTTCTCTCAGGCATGGGCTGGGAGTGTCTGGACCCTGTGGCTGGTTGTGGAAGGCTGCATTCCTAGAGAACACTGGCTGGTGCCCACATCTGGTTCTCTCAGGTGCGAGTAGGAGTGTGCCCAGCCTGAATGGTGGTGCAAGCATCAGAAAACCATGGGCTCAGGGATCATGGACTGGAGGCCCTGCTGGACTCTCTTTGGCATGGGTAGTCACCAGCAGTGACTGTCCTAGGAATATGGGCTTTGGCCTGTGCCCATGACTGCCTGGTTCCACCAGTTGTCCCTTAAGATCTTTTGCTCTTTTTGAAAGTGCTTTTAACCAGACTCCAAGTTAATGCTGGTCTCCAATCACAGGGCACTTTTTTATTTCTTTCCAATGGGTCACTTCTGGTGGCTTGCTCCCCCTTCTGTTTATCCTCCCATATCAGTCCAATCATTTCCACTCTGCTTTACCTCTCCATTGATGTATTCTGTCCCCAAAGAGATCCAGAAGTGTATAATCTTACATCTCAGGCTGATTTTGTGGGTGTTCAGAGTGTTCTGGTAGACATTTAGCTCACTTTAGGGGACCAGTTGAAACAGGGTCTCCTAATTCTCCACCATCTTGCCCATCACCCAAGATTTATAGTTTTAAATGACTATGAGAAAAGAGTAAATATATCAAATAAATAACCTAAACTCCTACCTTAAGATACAAGAAAAAGACTCAACTAGAAAATCAAGTATATAGAAGTAAATAAATATTTGAACAAAGTCAATGAAATACAAATAAAGCCCCCTCAAAACTGTAAAGAAAACCCATGAGACCAAAAGTTACATTTCTTCAAAGGTTAATGAAACTCTAAAGTCTAAAAAGACTTTAGTTAGACTGAACAAGAAACAAAAAAAGTTAGGAATGAAAGAGGGGCATTGCTAATGATCTCTAGATTCCATCAGAAATATTATTTACCTTGTGTTTTCTTGAGGGGAGATGGATATGGAGGATTCCAAGGTATAGTTTCACTTAAGACTCAACAATGTGCCACTGATATTTAGATTCCAATCAATATCAGTGCTTATCTCTGTGAAACTTCCAGAAGGTCCCTTGACACTACAGTATAACCCATTCATATTTATCTATGTTTCTAGCCAATGTTTGTTTTAATTAGTCAATAATTTAATCAATTTTAGGAGACCTTTCATTATCTCAACTTTAGATATATACATTAATGATATTGTGAGTCCTCCATATTTTCCATTCCTGTGGATTCTAGGATTTGGGGCATTTTTGTGTTTAGACTGAAGCATAAAAGCATAGTTCTTTTCAGGCAAGAAGATGACATTGGGCCAAAGTAAGGTATGTGATTGAGAGAACATCCCTGAGCCCTCAATAGTGTGTCCTGTTGGGTACAAGAATTAGAAAATAATAAGAAACTACTCTAAACACATTTCATGACAAGCTGGAAGACTGTATGCACTCCCAACCTGTTTAGTTATTTTTCTCAATTTACTACTATACACCATGATTCTCAAAATAGTTGATGTCATACTTCTGAGGTGAAAATTAGTTCTTGGGAGCAAAAGAAATCTTAAATATTCAGTGTATCATGGCCCTCCAGACAGCCACCATACACGAGTAGATATAAAACATATCTATGGTATTAAAGTTTGAGGGTGTGAAAACTAGGGGGAAATATCTAAAAAAGATATCCATGAAGGTGATAATTTTTAAAAAATGTTGAGAAACACTATCATACAAGTCTAAAGAAAATCTATTTCTGCCATCTAACTGTAAAAATCAGATATGATGGAAGCTAGAGCAGTTGCTACAGTTGGTCAAGATTTCCTCAGTAGTAGCAGTTTTTGCAGAGACTGTGATTCTTTTCCCATTTAGACTCATTTAATATCTTTTTCTTCCAGGATATAATATCCTAACTTAGATCTTAAATATTTTTCTGAAGAACTTATCTGTGTGGTTCCTTTGAAAGGAAAGGCTGCTTGTCTTTCATTGGGACTTTGAGAAAACCCCAAGGTCCACATCTATTTATTTGCTAACAGCAATTTTCAGAATCAAATTTACTCTGAGACCAGAGAATTATATATGCACAATGTTATACCATTACTTTGGCACCTGAGATTTATAAACTTTTGTTCAGCAGGAGCCAAAGTTCTGTTGGAAACAAATTACCTAGAGCTACTCTCATATATGCCAATACATTATGAAATATATGGATCTTATAAAAATAACCTCTTTAAAATATCTGTTGTTAAAATCTTTACTAAGATGATTTTGGTGAAAATATATTTGAAAATAGAATTATAAGATACCACATAATAATATAAATATCTCTAAATTTGTCCGTAGACAGGAACTGATATAAAGACAATGGTATTGTATCAATATGTTTATATTCAGAAGACAAATACACTTTTTAACAATTATAGGTTTTTTTGCTTAGTTTTTCTTTAATATAAAGGTTAACATTTTACACCTTTACATAAATCTAGTACTTCAAGATATTTTAATGGTTGACATGTTAAAAGAAGAAAATCTAAATATATTTGATTAACTTTGTGATATGATGTTCTACAGATCACTTCAGAAAGACCTTTTTAGGACATTGCTTTAAGATAGACATAGTTCTATTTCACTGAGTAATCAGTGAATTTGAGATTTAAAAAAATGACTTTGTTTTGTGGCAAATATTAGACTGTTGTTATAAAAGAGTAATTTAGTTTAGTCTAATTTTTTCCAAATATTTAGATATTATTGATGTGTGTATTTTCTTCTGAAGATTGTCTTGAAAATGTTGATAAATAACAATTTTCTTTTGTAAATGGAATTGTTGGGAACGTCCCTTGGACTTCACCAGATAATAATAGAGAAACCATATTTTTAGTGATCTATGTATAATAGTAAAAATGTTTTATAACATGCAGTCTTAATAGGATAAGAATATTTTACTTTGCTAAATAATTATTAGCCACCCAATTTTTGGGTCTACTGGATCTCAGGGGAAGGGAGAGCAGTGCACACTTGAAGGTTGTGCCCATGACACACAAAGACTTAGTAATACCCACCGTTCGAAATCTGTATAGCATGATACCCACAATTTGTGAATATTTCATTGCAAAATTTGATTACATACACAGCTCTTTGTGTATATAGGTAAATTTATATTTATATCTGCATATTTTTCCTTAATATGTTATTTTTCCTCTTTTTTTTTTCCTGCCAGATAATGATGGATGCCTATGCCATCTCCAGAGAGTGAGACAACAAATTATTTTTAAGTCAGTGGCTCTCCATTGCTACCTGTGGTCTTTTGGACACCCTTGCAGGTATGACTACATTATCAGGGAACTGCATGATTACTGGGGAAAAAAATCCCAAGAGGGACAGCAGTTGATAGATCTTACTCTTCTTAAGCTTGATGACATTTGGTTGTAACTAAATATCATTAAAAACCCATCCAAGATCCAGGTAATAGTGGGCACAATAACTGGGAGTTGTATCTGTGGGTCATGACAGGTCTTACCAAATGGGGGACTTCCTCAACAATCACTCCTAAAACAGAATCAACTTCTACAAGACCATTTACTAAGTTGTTTCTCAGGTCTTTATTTCTATGTTTGACTAATCAAAAGGGCTTTTCATTTCTTATGACCTGATATTTTTAGTTTACTTTTGTGATACAAGTACCTATGGATTGCCAGGCATAGAATAGATTCTCAATGAACTTTTATTGAATATAGATATGTAAGTAGATTATTTAAGTGATTTGTAAATAACCTGGCCAACTAAGCAGAAAATGAAAAATGATGGGGGGAAAAAGAGGCATGATTTTCAGTGGGATTTGAGCAATCCAGGCTGTCTTGGAAATGCACAGGAGAGAAAGGTTCTGATAAAATATGTTGATATTGAAATGTATAGAGTTACAGTACAAATAGCTGTAGTTTCAGAGCTATGTGAGAGTAAGAAGCAGCTCCCAAATGAAATCAATATGAAAGAGTACCAAAGAATAACTTCCCAGTATCCAGCTGATTAACCTTTTTCACTAGAAGTAGCATTTCTCATTTTTTTCCCTCAGATTACTTCTTGGGAACTCTTGGGAATGAATGATACCAGTAAATCTCTGAAACAAAACTCTCCAGACAAGGAGACTGTGGTCTGAGGACCACGCTTTGAAGGTAATGTTTTGTCAGAATAGTCCTTGATTTCTAGGAGCAATCATACTTAAGTAGGAAAATATATGTTAGTTTTCTGAAGATTGATGATTTGGCTATATTCTAATTGAAGATTGATGATTATGGCTATATTCTAATTGACTCAAGGGCCACAATGCATGGGAGTTAAGAGATACAGCTTCTCAGGTGGTACAGTCTGTTAAGTACCCAACTCTTGGTTTCCACTCAGATTGTTATCTCAGGGCCCTGAAACCAAGCCATGTGTCGGGCTCCACACTCAGTGCCGAGTTTGCTTAAAACTCTCTCTTCCTCTCCCTCTTCCCTTCCTTTCTTCTCTCTCTCTCTCTCTCTCTCTCTCAAATAAATAAATCTTTTTAAAAAAGAGATACAGCTTTTCTTATATACCTTCATATATATTCTATATTTTTGTTAGTATGTTTATGGTGAATATGAAAGATTTCCCTAGCTTTTCTTATCCAATGAACTAAGCTCCTAGTTGGCTGAATTCATTGTGTTAACAGAAAGTAGTTGTGTGAAGGAGATTTAGTGGTTTTCAGTATCTATTAGACTGGAAGGAAGAATAATAGTTTTGTCTGAAATAATTGATCAAATGAATGAATGATCTAGAATTTTAAGGTCCAATACAGAGAGAAAGAGACAGATAAAATTCTTAGTTAATTGAAGGTGTCTATTAATTTTTAGCTTGGTGAAGAAGAAAAAGTAGCTCTGATGTTGATTTAGGAAGATTTAAAGTAATTTTTCTGGCCACATGGTGAATGCAGCAGCTTAAAATGTGGCTTTCCTTTTGTCTTCTGAATAGATTCATATGAGCACATGTAGAGGTAGAGTATATAAGGATTTCATAATCCTCAGTGTGCTCCTTAGAAAATGTGTCTCTCACCTTTGCCATTTTTTTCCTCTGTATCCTTGCAGGTGGTGACCACCAATATGAGGTCGATTTGTTATTGAGGGTGCCATTACTTCTACCACCAACTTCACCAAAACAATGATACACCCTTCTTTATGCTTGGCGATTCCTCTCTTTCCCGTGTTGCAGTGGACACCTCCTGCAGATAAGAAATGCTTAACTGAGAAATGCTCATGTTGGGATTACCATCGATGAGACTTTAATTTGGGCATGGTGACTGTTTCCCTTGCTGCCACTTGACTCAATCCCAGGAGCCTCAGTAGAGGAAATATTATTATACAAGAAACTCAAAATGGTGGAATTTCTCAGTGCTCCCATAAATATACATTTATAATTTCCATTTACCATATGGTAAAAATTTTAAATAAGATATATTAAAAAGAAACTGCACAATTTTTTTCAAAAATTCAAAGCATATTTAAATATCTAATATATAAATTATGTGCCCTCCTCTCTGCCAGTTCTCTCCCCCAGAGTTTTCCTCTCTTAAGAGTTGTGTGCATTCTTTAAGTGAATAGATGCACACACACAGACACACATATACACAAACTATTTTGAGGGGTTCTGGAAGTGGGGCCATACTGTACACATTCTTCTGCAAATTGCCTTTCATTTTACAGTTTTAATACCCTTTTCTATTTCAGTAATATACATCTGTGTCATTTGTTGAATGACTGCATGACTGTTTTGTAGATGAAATATAATTAAATGTTATAAGAATTTCTCATCCATAGATATTTGTTAGCACAAAATTTTTGTGCCGTGAACCTCTCTATCAATAATTTTGCATTTGTCTCTTATATCATAATAAATTACTTAGCAGTTGAAATACTGGGATTATGCACATTTAAAATTATTACAAGATTTCCTTAAAATGTGGTAACAACTTTATCTTCAAATGGCAATGAATGAGATTGCCAGCTTTCCCACAACTACACAGATAATGGATTTTATAAATATTTAAACTTCTTGCGAATGTGATAGCCCAAACTATTGTCTTAAATTGTATTTCTTTCGTTTTTGAGTTTGATCATTTTTTCATGTTTATTAGCCATTTGTATTCTTTAATTTCCTCTTTATGTCCAATTTTGGGGGTGGAGGTTTAATCTTCTAATTTTGAAGAGCTCATTTATTATTGAGGAAAAAAGGTTTGGATTGTTAAGCTTTACAGGTATTTTTTATGCACTTTTAAACTTTATTTTTGTTATAAGAATGTGTATGATTGTTATATGTCCAAGTATAACCATGTTTGCTTTAATGGCTTATGAGTTTCATGACATTTTGGAAAAATATTTATACTGATTTCATAAAACCGTTCACCTATGTTAACTTTTATTCTTTTGTCTTTCTTTTATTCAAATTCTTAAATCATGAGAAATTTTTTTGATTTGAAATCTTAAAGTTGTCAAGTTATTTGCCATTACTTACGATTATTTGCCAATAATTGCCCATTTATCTGTAATGCCATCTTGCACATGTGCTGTATTCTCATCTGTTACTGGCACCATTTTTGTTCTGTGGATCTGTGTGTCTCTTCTTCTGCCTCCTGTTTCATGTGTCTTCTCGTTGGAAGAAATTACAGTTTAGACTGCAATTTCATCAACTTTAATAAATTAATTTAGGGGAGAATTTGGTTTTTAATAATATACGTCTTCCTACCCAAGAATAAGGTATGTCTTTCTATTTATTAAACAATTTTAATTACTGTTAATATTTTCACTTTGTGATGGGGGTTTATTTTATCCCTTGATATTTTTTCTACACCTGAAAGTTTTGTTTTGGGGGGTAAGTGCTCACCTTACTCTTTCTCATGACTTTTCAGATTTTTCCAAAATACATACCAGAACCTTTGCAAATACTGATCATTTTGATTCTTTTCTTCCAAGTGATATTGATTTATTTATATTGATAATGTTCACTGACTGGTACTTTCAGAGCACTTAAATGTGGAATTATTACCCATCCTTAATCAGTTTTTAATGGAATGTTTCTTGGGTTTGACCAGTACATTGTTGCTGGTCTATTACCCCAAAAGACACCAAGGGAAAAAAAAAAAAACTATATTCAACAAGAGCTGAGTGTGTTAAACTTACTGCAGCAAGGGATAACGCCATTTTGACAATGTTTAATAGTGTTCTAAAAGTTGGCTTTGGGGTCTGGGCTAATGTCATTTAAGATGGGCTTTTCAAAACATAGAACTGGCTAAGAATGGACACAATTTGTGAAGCAGTAGTAAAAGGTTGGCAAAAGAGTAACATGAGATCCTTGATGTGAGTCTAGAAAAACAAATTGTTGTCTGATGAGCTGTATGCCTATGTGAGTAAGATGTTTTCGATGATAGAAGAGATATTCACTTATATGAGAAAACTGTAAATGTATTTATTTGTTTGCAGTTCTATCTTTTGTATAGGACTCTGCTAGGGGTGATATCAAGTCCTAGTCCCAATAGGTAAGTTATTTTGATTTAGGTGGTCTCAACCATCAATGAAATAGGTGAATTTTAAATTTGAAATGTTTTTGTGTATCAAGTTAGGTAAGTCTCCCACTTTATATATATTTCTAAGAAATTTTAATCAGAGCCAGGTTGTAGATGTAATAAATGGTTTTTGCATAAAAAATGTATTATTCTTCAAACTTTTATTATTGTGAAATAATTCTATTATTGAAATTTTCTTTTATCCCTTTAATGAAAAAACCCTATTTGGTACCAAAATGTTGCTCTAAATTTACTACTAAATTATGAGTATCTTAATTTGATTTTGACTTTTTGCAAGTATACTATTAAATGAAGTTGATCTGCAATTTTCTTTTTTCTTTTTTAAAATTTCTTTTCAATGTTTCAGAATTCATTGTTTATGTACCACACCCAGTGTTCCATGCAATATGTGCCCTCCATAATACCCACCACCAGGCTCACCCAACTTCCCATCCCTCACCCCTCTATATATTTGCCATATTTTGATTTCAGATGCTCTGTTTGCATTAAGTAATTTCGAGGATTTTGTTTTTTATTCAATGCTGTAGAATGGGTTGAAAATCTTTAGCATTAATTTGAATAGTTAAGTGAACACATCAATTAAATAATCTGACCTCTCCTTTGATTTTGGTGGTTTGAAGTAGAACTGAGGCTATGTAGAAAATTTTCTCAACTTTTTCCACAGTGATTCCTTTTTTTTTTTCATCTTTTACTTAACTTGTTTCCTCCTAGAAAATCATAAGCCAAGCATATTTTCCAACACAGTGACAGGAAGTTATGCAAACTGTTCTTTCATCACTCTTATTAATTTCTCATTTCAATTCATATTTTCATCCCAGTTTTGGTTATTTCTGCTATGCTTTTTTTTTTTCAATGAAGTCTAACTCATGGATTTTTAGCAATATTAGCTCTTCCTTTTCCTTTCCCGCAATCAGCTTTTTGTTTTAACTTATCATTGTGGGTTTTTTTTAATGTTCTAATTTATTTATATATTCTTTTCTATAGTTGCTTGTGTTTTTTAAATAAATTCTAAACATGTATAATACACTTATTTTCACTTGTTTTGGTAATGAAAGATTTGTTCTATTGTAACTTATAAAACTTCTCTCATTATGAACACAGTGTAAACATGCAGAGTGTAAAGAGAAAAGAACAGTAAATTTGCAGACATCAGGAAACTAGGGCCCACCATTATCAACAGTTTGCCATATTTACTTCTTGTTAATTATAAGGTAATTTCAAATAACTTACAGAAATTATAAAACTTCTTTCCCCAGAATCATTTTTTAATTGTGTATTTGTTACAGGTAATATATGTTACAAAATTCCAAAATTTACAAAAGGATATTCAGCAAAAGTAATTCACCTCAATTCTGTCCTTTATAACTACCCAATTTCCCCTTTTTGGAGAAAACTAGCCTTATAGCTTCTTGTTTCTCCTCTCAGACACACACACACACACACACACACACACACACACATTTTGTAATGTTATGTAACTTAGCTTTCTGTATTTATGTACTATATAAATCTTTTACTATTTCTAGGGACACTTCAGTGGCTCAGCTGGTTAAGCATCTGCCTTCAGCTCAGGTTATGATCCCAGGGTCCGGGGACTAAGTCCTGCACTGGACTCCTTGTTCAGTGGGGAGCCTGCTTCTTCCTCTGCCTCTGCCACTCCTCCTGCTTGTGTGCTTTTTCTCACACAAATACATAAATAAATCTTTTTTAAAAAGGAATATTTTACTATTTCTAGCAGATCAAATCTTATCAGTATTGAGAAGCTTATTAAATATTTATATTCTTACACAGCTAACATTTCCATAGTTAAATGCAGAGATCTTAACTGTATAATTCATTGAGTTTTCCTAAGTGCATACCCGTGCAACTACTACCTTAATCAGGAAGTAGAATCTTTGTATTACTTGAGAACCTCCTCTGCTGCCTCCCTTCAACCACATCTATTTCTCATAGGAAACAGTGCTCTAATTTCTATAATAGATGAGTTTTGTCTGTTCTTGAGATTAATGCAAATTGAATCATACAGTATGTGCTCCTTCCACCCATCATGATATTAGAATTCATCCATGTTATTCTGTATATTAGCAGATTTTAAAACTTATTCCTTTCAACTGCAGGGTAACATTCAACTGAATGGGCATATTATAATTCACTTACCTATTCTGTTGATGGACATTTGGGTTGTTTCTAGCCATTTTGAATATGTTAGCAGATCTCTTACATAATTGCCTAAAAATGGAATGTGCTTGATCATAAGATAGAATTTGGTTAACTTTATAGGAAACTTCAAAAATGTACTCTAAATATTTGGCAGATTTTTACACTCTCAACCCACGCTGTTTGATATTTTCAGTTACTATCCATTATCACTAACCTTGGACATTGTCGTTCTCTTAAATTTTATCTATTTCAGTGGGTGTGAAGTGGTATCTTATTGTGACTTCAATTTTCAATGTGTTTATTTAAAAAGATAAACAATTTTTCATGAGGTTAGCTGCCAGTTATAAATATTTGGTAAAATTTCTGTTTCTTTTTTCCAAAGTTTATTTTTTTCTTCCAAGCTTTTATTTAAATTACAGTTGGTAACATTCAATGAAATATTTGATTCAGGTATAGAATTTAGTGATTCAACACTTACATACAATACCAGTTCTCATCACAGCAAGTGCATTTCTTTATTCCCCATCACCTATTTTTTTTAATATTTTATTTATTTATTTGACAGACAGAGATCACAAGTAGGCAGAGAGGCAGGCAGAGAGAGAGGGGAAGGGAAGCAAGCTCCCTGCCAAGCAGAAAGCCCAATGCGGGGCTCAATCCCAGGACCCTGGGATCATGACCTGGGCTGAAGACAGAGGCTTTAACCCACTGAGCCACCCAGGCGCCCCTCCCCATCACCTATTTAACCCATCTGCCCACCCACCTCCCCTCTGCTAACCATCAGTTTGTACTCTATAGTTAAGAATCTGTTTCTTGGTTTTCCTCTCTTTTCCCTCCTATGTTTTGTTGTTGTTGTTGTTGTTGTTTTATTTTGTTTATTAAATTCCACATATGAGTGATGTCATGTGGTATTTGTCTTTCTCTGACTCACTTATTTTCCTTAGTATAATACCCTCTACGTCTATTCATGTGGTTGCAAATGGCAAGATTTCATTATCTTTGATGGCTGAGTAATATTCCTTTGTGTGTGTGTGTGTGTGTATAAGAATATTTTATATCTATATACATAGATATAAAATCTATAAAATCTATGTATATCTATATCTATGTATATAGATATAAAATATTCTTTACCCATTTATCAGTCAATGGACATTTGGGCTCTTTCCATAATTTGGCTATTGTTGATAATTCTGTTATAAACATTGGGGTGCATGTATCCCTTTAAATTAATATCTGTATCCTTTAGGTATTTTGCAAATGATGTATCTGATACTGGGTTAGTATAAAAAGCATATAAAGAACTTATAAAACTCAACACCCAATAAAAATAATGTGGTTAAAAAATGAGCAGAAGATGTGAATAGACACTTTTCCAAGGAAGACATACAGATGTCCAAAAGACACATGAAAAGATATTCAACAACACTCATCGTCAGGGAAATAAAAATTAAAACTCCAAAGAAATATCACCTCACACCAGTCAAAATAGCTAAAATTAACAACACAGGAAGCAATAATGTTTTCAAGGATGTAGAGAAACGGGAACTCTCTTGCACTGTTGGTGTGATTGCAAACTGGTGCAGCCACTCTGGAAAACAGTATGGAAGTTCCTTAAAAAGTTAAAAATAGTACTATCCTATGATCCATCAATTGCATTACTAAATATGTAATTTATTATTTTGAATGAATTTTAGACTTATAGTAAGTTTTAAAAAAAATAATAAAGTTCATATGTATTATTTACTCTCCTTTCCTAATGTTAACATCTTAAGTAATCATTATTGTAACATAATATATATATATAACATAATATATATATATAACAATTATTGAAATATATTAACATTGACATAATACTATTAAAAATTCTGAGAACCATATTTTAATTTTTTTAGTTGCCTGCTATCATTTTTATTTCTAGTTCAGAATCCAATTCAAGATCCCACATACATTTATTCATTCCATTTCCTTGTCTTAGTACACAACCCTCAACTCCCCCAATTGCAGAGTTCCTCAGTCTTTCTTTGCATTTCATAACCTTGACACATTTGAGGAAAACTAGATTGTAATCTTGTATGATAGTCTTCAATTTGAATTTTTTAAATATTTTCTCATGACTAGATTGTGGTTATGCATTTCCAGTAAAAAGAAAAAAGAGTGTTAATAGTGTGTGGTTTTCAGTGGATCAAATAAGAAGTAT